AATGCAACAGATTTCTGTAAGTTAATCTTGTATCCTGCTACCTTACTAAACTAAACATACACAAAAATGTGTGTATGTAAAACTGGTAAAGCTGAAGAAGGTTGATAGATCATATCAATGTCAATTTTCTAGGTTTAATATTGAACTCTAGTTATATAAGATAGTACCATTTGGGGAAACTAGATGAAGAGCATATGGAGATTCTTTGTATTATTTTTTAAACTCCATGTGAATCTATAATTATCTCAATAAAATTTAATACTTTTTACTGTCACATAGATGACATTCTTCAGTACTGGCTTTTTTCTCTTTCTTTAGATGAGTGTGGGAGTGAGGAATACAAGGCCTACCATTGCTTTGATTTTTTTTTTTCTAAGGCACCAGTAGTTTTACCCATCTTGTTTTTTTATCACTAGTGCAAACTTCAACCTAATGACATTATCTTAGCATCAATATTGTGAGAATATTTTATCTCCTAGACCTTCTGATGAAGTATCAGGGATGCTCGGGGCTCTGGTCCACATTTTCAGAATCAGTCTCAATAAAGCTTTAGTCGTTATTTAGCTGAAGAACACAAGTACAGTTGGCCCTCTGCATTGGCAAATACTGAACCTGCAGATATGGAGAGTCCACTGTACCAAACAATTTTATATGAGAGACTTGAGCATCTGTGGATTTTGGTATCTGCGGGCATCTAGGAAGCAATCTCCTGTGAATAGCAGGGGACAGCTCTAATGTGCTTAAGACTGCATGTACAGTTCAGTGATATGTCTCTCTCTCTCTCCAGTGTTTTATCTTGTAGTCTTGTTTGTTAGATGTTAATGTACTTCTGTAAAGTTAGAGTTACATTTGTAATGATATAAGATGAGAAGAGTAAAACTTTGGAATTAACAGTTTTCTACATGTGTGCTATATAATATAGTAGCATCTAGCCATATCTTGATAATTAAACTTAAATTCTAAGTGATTAAAATGCATATAAGTACAATTTAAATTGAATCTGGTTGTAGAGTTTGTTTTACAGGATGAAAATGTTCTAGATATCTTTTGCACACTGTGCATATGGTTAGCATTACTGTACCTTTGAAAATCGTTAAGATGGTAAATTTTATGTTATGTGTTTTCTACCACAATAAATTTTTTTTACTTAATTAATTTATTTAAATAAAATTAAACGTTGATTTTTTCAGTTGGACTAATTACATTTCAGTCATTCAATAGCTCCATGTGGTTAATAGGTACTAAATATATACTATATTTAAATTTATATCATCACAGAAATGTGTATTTACACTGATTGTAGAACACTCAGGAAGACAGTTCTTAAGGGGTTGAAAGTGCTTGGAAGCATTGTGGATGCCAGCATGGTCAAAGTGCTGGTCTAGACTTTAATGTATTGTCTTTACTTCTCTGGCCAGATTTACTTGTCAAATATTTATTTGATAGAAGAGTTTCTCACTATTTATATCCTGTAGTAGCTAGTTAATAAGAAAGAACACAGATATATACATACATATATAGAGAGAGTATAGGTATAAAGAAAAATTCTGAAATGAAATTGACAACTTTTATAAACTTATGGTTTATTTAAAAAATAATTGGTGTATCTTTAGTTCATCTTTTTATTCAGATTTTAAAAAGCATTTCCAGCTCTAAGATGATAGAAATAGATTTGCCTCTAATACCTTTACAGTTTCATGTTTTATATTACAATATTTTTAATCAATTTGAATCAATTTGTTTGGTACTGTGAGTTGATGATACACACACACACACACACACACACACACCACCCCTCCACCTTTCCTCTTGGTTGATTATTTGATCATTCCCACAATTTATTAAGTGATTTTGGTATTTCCTTAATGATTTGAAATGCTACCAGTATGTTCTGTATATACATGTGCTTATTTCAACATTCTCTCTCAATACCTTTCTTTTCCATATGATTAAATGCTCTTCTGTATCTTTTTCAAAGACTATGAAGGATTATAGTCTATGGCTGAGTATAATCTGTATCTATCTCTTTATTGATTAAATTATAAATTTCTTGAAGGTTAAAAAACCGGTAACCATTTATCCTTGGCCTCATTTATGTAATTAGCCCACAGCGTAGTGTCTTCTTTGTGTTATACTTCCATAAATATTGTTGATTTAGTTTTCATTGTGATTTATCAGAAGACATTTCAGTTGTTTCCCAAAAATATTTAGAACTTTGTAAAATACAGACCTACTGGATTTTGTGGTTTGCTTTGCTTTTTTCTGTCACATGAAGGGGAAGCTAGCTGTAGGACAGAGGTTATCTTCAGTATGTTTTTATTATAAAAGTAATCAATTCTTTTGATACATGAAAAAGAAAAAACAGACATAGGCATATATACTCAGAGATATTGAGGGTTTAGGTTCAGACCGCTACAATAAAGCGAATATTGCAGTGATGCAGGTCACACAAATTCTTTGGTTTTCTAGTGCATATAAAAGTTATGTTTACATTATACTGTAGTCTGTTAAGTTTGCAGTTACATTATGTCTAAAAAATAAATGTACATACCTTAATCAAAAAATACAATTGACCCTTGAACAATACAGGTTATTGGTTCCAGGACACACCGCAGATACTGAAATCCATGGATGTTCAAGTCCCATAGTTGGCTCTTTTATCCTTGGTTTCACATCTACGGATTCGGCCAACCACAGATTATGTAGTAATGTAGTATTTATTTCCCCTCAGTTTTATTGAGATGTAATTGACAGCACTGTATCAGTAAAGTGTATAGCATAATGATTTAACTGACATGCATCATGAAGTGCTGTAGTATTCCGTGTATGATTGGATTCACACAGTTCAAAACCCTGTTGTTCAAGGGTCGGCTGTACTATATTGCTAAAAATGCTAACCATCATCTGAGCCTTCAGTGAGTTGTACTTTTTTAGTTGGTGGAGTATCTTGCCTCGTTGTTGATGTCTGCTGGCTGATCAGGG